CGCGCGTTTCATTCATTTCGAGGTCGCTGGTGCGGAGCTGCAGAGGATCCCCTGGAGAAACTGTGCACCTCCATTGACCTTCTCTCTCCTGTCCCTCGGCCACACCGGTGGTTTTGAGAAAATGGCTTTCCGCATGGCAGCACTTTGCACTTGTTACCATTCTCTGTAATCGCTACCTGGACTTAAACTGCAGTGGTCGTTTAAAATTTATGGTCTTTCTCGAGCTGTATTTGGGTCACATTTTAAGATCCCTTATGAGTCAGTGGAAGATGTTTGTATCTTCAGGGCTAAAAGGACCTGGCCGATTATTACTTGAAAATACTGCAGTCTAGCAGTTCATAAAAGTACAGGAGGAAAAAAAAATCAAGGTCATTGTGGGTGGGTCATAAATCATAGTGTAAAATTGCAGCCCAAAATAAGGGCAAATAAGGGTAATTAAGCGTAAGTTTAAAAGGCTTGTCAAATGGGTCCTCCACCCACTGCTAATATGTGCACCCCCGAAAAAAATTCACTACCTACTTTGTGGTAAAAGATAATAATAGCACTTACTATTTGATGACTGCTTAGTGTGTGCCATTCCTAGATGAAAGGGTTTGGTGCAGTATCTCATTAAGTTCTTCCAGCGCTTGAGATTCAAAGATAAAGTTCAGAGGGGTCCTCTGTTTTACCTTAGTTGTGCCCTCTCTCAATAGTAAAGCTTTTGAAGAGGTGTGAAATCAGTTGGAAAGAAAACAAATACGATTTGGAGTTGAGGAAAGAAAAACCAGATTCGCTTTGGTTTCTGTACTATCCAGCTGTGGGGTCATGAGTAGGTCAGGGATCCAGTTTATTTTTTCACCCATATATTTAGGTAGCCAGGCTAAACTTCTCCAAGAAACGTTTTTAAAGCTTTTCCATGTTTATTTTGCAAATGCCATGTTTTTAGTTTAACACCTTTTGGCACGGTGAGGGTACATTTAAATCATCTATCTCATGGGAAAAAAAAAGTAAATACGTTTGTAGTACCAGAACTCCAGAGTTCAATTTGAGTATAAAACAGAATTATACTAGATATCTTCAAATTGGAGATTTCTGTTAATACTTTAGGAGCTATAGCTGGAAGAAATAAAATAGTACATGTTCAAGAGAAACTGATGTCTAGGTATGTTTTGTTTTATTAAGAAAATATAAACACCTAAGTATCTACACATCAGTGTAAGCAGTTAGGATCCAGACAAAGGGAAATCAGTCGATCATAACATTTTTCTTTATTTTCCCACTGACTGATTTCTCTAATTCATAGTGGGTGATTCAGAATCACAATTGGAAACCACCTATATTAGTAAAGAAACAGAACTCTGGGAATGTCCACATGGATCCTATGGAAACTTTTTCAGCATAGGGAAAGAGAAGGCATGTAGACTTTCTTATATTATTTAACAAAATATTAGGGCTTAGACTCAACTTTTCAAATGTTCTAGAAATAGAAGATCACCCATTTACCATCTAGTGGAACAGTCAGTGTATAAATGGCTCTTATTGAAATTGATGTTTGATCTCTCTCCCTGTATATGTGCGCATATATATGTATGCACCTGTATATGCGTGTGTACTTACATGTGTCTAAGTCAGTCAGTGGTAGAGTTCTTGCCTGGGATGAGCAAGGCCCTGGGTTTGATCACTGTCACTGGGAGAAAAGAAAGGAGGATGAAAAGCAAAAATAGAAAGAAACCTCCTTCCTGTCTTGTCAGGATTATGATTTGTTAGTTAAGAGTCCCCAGTAAACTGTACCTTTTGTTTGTTTGTTGTTTTTCAAAACAGGGTTTCTCTGTGTAACTCTGGTGGTCCTGGAACTCGCTCTGTAGACCAGGCTGGCCTCGAACTCACAGAGATCCACCTGCCTCTGCCTCCCGAGTGCTGGGATTAAAGGCGTGCACCGCTCAGCAGCAGGTTTTCATGATTAGGAACATTTACTGCTAGTGAACTTAACTCATACCTGCTTTGGTAAATCCTGCTAAGTGTGGGCAACCTAATCTAGCTTGTTTTTCTTGTCACAGGCTAACTTTGCCCAGTGGCTACTTGAAGGGCTATGGCTTATTCACTCTCCCACTTGGAAGAACATGCCTGGTCAACACTCAGGAAGGACCTTACTTGGCCTCTTCATTTCTGGCTTTTACTTTATCTGCACGTTTTTTCCTGGTGCTATTTTTTGGGGAAGGTTCTTATTGAACCTGCTGCTACCCTACACTGATGTTGCCTTTTGTGTTCTTGTACTCCCAAATTCCTCAGTGAAAATTCCCACAGAACTTTTGTGCGGGCTGAGACAATGTTTAGTAGTCTGTCTTTAGTGGCTCCCATTCTGTCTTCCAAGTTATGTTTTTGTCGGGAGAGTCTATCGCACTGTGTAGCTCTAGCTCAGTGTTGAAGTACGTTATCGTGAGGCCAGTGTACAGAGTAACAAATACATGTGAAGAGCAACAGCTTATGTTCAGGTTTGTTCAAATTCAGTGACTGAAGGCCTCCCACAGAGTGAATTCTTGGCACCACGGGAGGTGCAATGGCAATACACTTGGACACTGCTGCACCCACATGTCTTTCCACCTCTTCTTGGAGAACTGGGTCCCCGAATGCCTTGGTGGGCCGTGTTCACCGGCTTCTGAAGTCAGGTGCTGATTTCCATCCACGCTTCATTCCCTAGTTTGTCATCTTGCTTTGTACTTGAGATTTGGAGTAGGGACTGTTTCAGATCAAACCTGTAGTTTTCTTTTTCTGCTTCAAAATATATCAGGCAGCATGTGGCATGCCTCCTTTCTGCATACTGATAATTCGATACCATGCTAGTGGCAAGACTGCAGGAACTGAAGGGATTTTCCTGACAGCTTGTTTATCTTGTGTGAATGTGTACGTATGCATGTATGTGTAGGTGCACGTTTGCCATGCGAATTTGTGTAGTCAGAGGACAAGGTGCAGGAATTGGTTCTCTTTCCACCATGTGGGTCCCAGAGATTGAACTCAGGTCTTCAGGCTTAATGGCAGGTGCCTTTACCCACTGAGACATCTCATTGGGGTTTATTATGACAAATAATTCCCTGGCTTTGGTATTAAACATAGTAGAAAGTGGATGGCTAAATTTTAGTACAACTTTTAATGTTGGGTTGCAGGGATACTTTTATCTAGTAATTGTGAAAGTTAGAAGCAACACTTACCTTTAATTCACTTTCCTTTCAAGTTACCTTTGGGCAGTGCTGCTTCCTTGCTAGGCAGCTTTTCTCTAAAGTGTGGCATTAATATCACTGTTTTGCAGTGAAGCTTGGAAAGTGAAAAGAGGCTGTGCCACAATTTGACACTAGCTCCTTATGTTTAATGCCCATACTAGAGTTAGGTCTCCTTTGTTGGTAAATACACTATCTGTGATATTTTAGAATTTTTATTAGCTTATTGGCTGATTCCTAGAGTCAGCTAAAGACTGGTATTTTAGTGTTGACTGCTATGATTAACTAATTTTTAGAGTAGAATAAAGTCAAAATAGCCTTATGGGTGTCTTTAAAGATACACTCCTGCAACTTTTTTTTAATTGTGGTGTATTTGAAGTTATTTAATGAGTTATTTATATTCTTAAAGATGTACAATGTTAATGTTCTATGACATATAATGTTCTATAATGTTAACTGTTCTATATACAATTGGGATATTGGTATCCCCTAACTTCTAGATTTAGGGGCTAATACATGTATTCCACAGAGAGTGATGTCTTCCTTGACTTTAAGCCAAGTGCCTGGGATTTGACTCATGGGTGATTATTCTGTACTCTTTCCTAATAATGTGACTAACAGAAAGTGCTAGTCAGAGGAAGCCACCCCAGAGCAGTATTGACTTTGGTAATATTTCAAAATGCACTACATGTAATTCTCAGGTCCCCCCCCAAAAAAACCCCAGAATTCATTTATTTACCATTGAGGGGTAGCAGCTCTTCAAGTTTGTCATAAATACTTGGTCCCCAAGACCAAGGCAAAGGGAAGGAGACCACTTTAAGCTTGGTTAGAGTTAGTGGGGGCAGAGAGATGGCTCAGTGCCCAAGAACACCTGCTGCTTTGCCGGAGGACCTGAGGTTCTTTAACATCAGTACTCTAGGAGATAGTGTATATTTAATGACTTGGTTGAATAAAGAAGTGAATTGGTATTTCCTATGTAGAGCTTTTTGTAATATTACATTTTAACATTTGAACTATAGGAACTCACTTTTGTGGTTGACTGTCAGTGGTTTGGTTACAGGAAGATAAATTTTTTGTTAAAAATTTTAAATGAAACATGGATTTTAAATTTACTCATCATGCTTAGAAACTTCTAGCTTCACATTTTGATCTTTATTATCCTGACTCTTACCAAGTGAGTTCAGAATGCATTGTGACCCTGTGCTTTGTGGCTAAGGAAGTTCAGAAGAGCCCAAATGCAGCACACACGATCATTTGATTTTATGGGAACTGAGTGATTTCATAGAGAGTGCTTCCAGGAATAATGACCATTGGTGCTCCTGGGGGTGGGATCGCCTTATTTCTGATTTGAACACTTTTAGTTATTGGCATTTTCTCAGGATATTTACCTGCTCACTGTCTTTATCTCTGTGAGAAAGTATTGTTGAACTATTCATAGGTACTCACGGAGAACTGTTAATGAAGGGAGGCCCAGATGATGGAATAAGTAACATAAAGAAATAAATAAAAGAATGACTCAAGAAGATACCACTTCTAAATGCAAGTGCCAGAAAAATTACAGCTCATCTCAGTGAATTTGCAAGTGGTAAGTGGGCATTTGATTTTTCGTGGGAAAGTGTTTGCTTTTTTTGACATAGTGTGGCCTTGGAATCTTGTGTTTAGCAGATTGTCCATTTGCTATGAAGAATTAAAGACAATTTAGACTTATTTGACTTTTTTATTTTAAATTTTGATGGAGTGTATTTTCTTAAATAAGACTTTTTTTTCATTAAAACCCTCAGAAATATCTTTTTAAATTATAAATCTTACATGGCTTTATGCAGATCTTTCTGCATTATATTAACAAACTAATTTGAAGTGAGAAATCTCAAACATTTTGTTTATAAGGTCATTGGTGTCTATGCTTTAGGCTATTTCTGTTTTCCAATTGGTTGAGAAGAATTTAGAGTTACCTGCCTTCACTAATAAATTTAGAAGAAAACATAAGTATGTACATAAAACATAAAAGTCGTCTTCCTCACTACTCTGTCAGCCATGTGTTTTGTGGGGTCTAAAGATGTGATGGCCATGTGTTCAGTCTCAATGAGTGAGTATAGTGAGCAAAAGAAAAGAATAAATATCAAGTAGTGAGTAGAGAGAAGCAGCCACTTGACAGAAGAACATCATCAAATTAGGATTTTGCAACATCCAGTAGTGACGAATGACTGAAGTAGCTCCACTTTGATAGCAAACATGGGTGACTTCAAGCCATGGGCTTGCCGAATCAAGCAGAAATGCACTGGGGAAGTTGAGGCAATCAACTGTACTTCCCATGTGAGCTTTCTCTCCATGGATGGTCTGCCCATGGCTGAGCTTCCCATCCCGAGTTAGGTATTTTTACCGTGATGAGCAGTTGTAACCTCTGTTGGAGATGGCTCACTTTCTGCTGTTCTCAGGGACAGTGTTTTTACTTTTAGGCTGTTGTGCAGTTTTCTTCCCTCCTTGTCACAGACTTAGATGGGACAGTCCCTCCTCGGTTTTGGAGGACATATGACATAAACATGCTTGCATCTGAAGTGGGGTGTAAGCCATCTTGCAGAGCCAGCTTCCCAGTGAGCTCAGACAGCACATGAGAGTTGACCCCGTGTACACTGTATCATGATGACCACAGTTAGCAGTTTGGTTAGTTTCCTTTAGGAAACAGTACTGTATGTACAAATCACTTCTATTTTTCCTAACAAAAAAAACTACTATACAAGCTGTCCTGTAACTTGGGCCCCCAAATTTTCACCTTGAAAAATTCAAACAGAAACATAGAAATGAATTTGGAGGTGTAACACATGAATGCCATCACATAGGTTCTATAACTGACGGTCTGAACCTCTGCCCATTTGTCAGTCAACTTTATTGTTATTGTTCTGTTTCAAAGTGAATTGCAGACACCAGGAACCTCACCCTCATACTTGAGTACAGGTTGTTATTAACTGCAGTTCAGGATTGACTTATAGTTTTGGCTTTGTAAAACGACACGAACATAGCACAGAATGCCTCAATTAAATGTACTTTTCCTGAGTTTGAAGAATGTTTGATGAAGCTACAATAAGGTTATAGATGGTACTGGATTTTTATGATTACAAAAAGTGTTGTATCTCTGTATATCCTTGTTGTGTCCACTTTGTACATTTGTGAGTGAGCTTTCATAGCTATTAGAAATAAAACTGCTGGGCTAAAGGCTTTCACAGTTTGATGGGTATGCCAAATTGCCCTCTCAAGAGGACTGTATTCCCTTCCATGCAGGTCAGCAATGTATGGGGTGCTCTTTTCCCTGTGCCTTCTCAACAGGAAAAACTGCCTAGTCACTCCACATTTCCTCAGCAGTAATGACTCCGCATTAGATTTTTTTCTGTTTGTGAGCTGCCTCCTCATGTATTTACTTTGCCTGCCTCTTATCAGTCATACATTATAATATTCTTCCCAGGAATGCCTTGTTTGTAATTTTGTTTTTGGTGTATTTTGAGAGCAGAATCTTAAATTTTTATGTGGTCAGTCAGTATTTGTGGGTCTTGGTTGTGAAGGTCATCCTTCCTCCAAGAGTTTAACATCACTGGCTCTTTTCTTACAGAGTTGGATTTTATTGACCTTTACAAGGAAACAGGTCATTGTCAACTAAATTTTCCCTGGTGGGAAATTGGTAGTAGCATTGGATAGTGAGTTAAATGAAAACAGTAAGCAGAGTGCTGGGGAGACTTCAGACATGAACAGCAAATGATGAATGTATCTCATACTTGGGAAATAGTAAGTAGTAAAACCAGTTTTAGCTAAAGTAGAGAGTCATAGAAAACTGTTTGCAAATATGTGTTTGACTTCATTTCTTGTTAGCTATTTTGGCTAATCCTTATTTTTCTCTAAAATTTTCATTCTAATATTACAATTTTCAGTCATACAGTCATTTTTTCTTTCTTTTTTTTTCTTTTTTTTTTTTTTTTTTTGCCTCAATGACTCAAACCTTTTTTTTTTTTTTTTCCCTTTGGTGGTGAACTAAAGGTGCCTGAAATGGCAAGAAAGGAAAGATCGTATACTGTCAGGATAAATTGAACATTGTAAATATTTCCTCAGGGCAGTTTATTACAGTTGAATTGTAATTTATTTAAAAGTAGTCTGTGCTGTAGTAATTTACATCAATATGAAGCTAGTCACTATACTAAAGTATAGTCACCAGATCGCAATCTCCAGTGTTGACAAACCAGTTCATCAACTAGTCACTTCAAAGTTTGATTATGAGCTCATATTTAATATAGGAATTAGCATGTGGGGCTCTCCAGCTAATGAAAGTACATAGCAGATGCTGCTGGTAAGCCTGGCCAGTGCTGTTGAGTTTGGTTGTTGCTCAGAGTGTGTAATAGTTTCTGTCCAGCCATCGGCCACACCTGGTAGCCATCCACACTGGAGTGATCCTGCCACTCTACCCATCACAGGCTCTTGGCTGGAACCAGCTGTGGGTTCTCGGAAGACCACTGTTCTCCCAGCCTACTGTAAGGATCATGTGTCGCTAATTTTTACTAATCAGGTATTTGTTTTCAGTATTTGACAGCGTGTTACTTGTTGAATTTCTCTGGGGTCAGTCTTCTTGGGTATGCTGTTTTAGAGTTTTCCATTTACAGGGAAACAGACCCATCTTAAATGACTTTTGTCATTGTAGTACTTTCTGTTGTGAGGGATTAATCTTTTTTTTGTTTTGTTTTTTTGTTTTTGTTTTTCGAGACAGGGTTTCTCTGTATTGCTTTAGAGCCTGGAGCCTGTCCTGGAACTCACTCTGTAGACCAGGCTGGCTTCTAACTCACAGAGACCTGCTTGCCTCTGCCTCTGGCATTAAAGGCGTGCACCACCAGCGCCCGTCTTGATCTCTTATTAATAGGAAAAATTTGTTGCTTCAAAACTAAAGGAATTAAAAAAACAGAGTTCAAAAGATGAATAGTTGATAATTTTCCTACATGCTTAGCAGATTTGTTTGTTTCCGTTTTGTATGTTAACAAGAGTAGGAATGAGCCAGACAGTACTCTAGCATATGAAATTAATTGTTAATCCTGAGTAGAACCAAAGCATTGAAGGCTGAAAAGGCAAATGAAGTTCATACTATTGAGTATGTTGGGAGGCAGAGCCTCTGTCATTTCTTGTAGCTCTTGATAGTTAATACGAGGGGGGTGTGTGAAAATATTAATAGTAAATTTTAGGCACAAGAGTGTAATAAAGTACAAATCTTACTTAACCCCCATTTGAATACCTTTCCTGTGCATAAGAATAAAGTTCGAGCATTCTAAATGACATCTCTGTTTCCCTCATGATAGAACCTCTCTGTGTTCCCCAGATACTGTCCCTGGGAGGCACTGTGACTTTTGGTGGCAGATTGTGACTCCTCCTGTGATGTTCAGTCATAGTCACCCTGCTCTTGCCTCTCTTTGCAGTACTCTTGCAGTGTTTTTTTTTTTTTTTTTGCTAAGATAACTTTTCATTTTTTAAGGTTGCGCTCAGTTTGTATCTGTTTGGGAAGTGCTGCTTCTTGAATCCTGTTGTAACTAGGCCCCATCTTCTGTGCATTCACTGATGACTTTGTTCACAGATCTGGAACTTATCATAATAAATTAACCCTTTTGAATGACACTTTCCAATTGGACTTGTTTATTTAAGACAGTGCTTCTCAACCTTCCTAATGCTGCCAACTTTACTTCCTCTTACGGTGACCCCAACCATAAAATTATTTTCATAGCTGCTTCGTAACTTTAATTTTCTACTGCTATGAATTTTAATGTAAATATTTTTGGAGATAGAGGTTTGCCAAAGGGGTCACAACCCATAGATTGAGAACAACTGATTTAAGATCATGCCTTATTAATAGTTGTATCTACAATGTATAGGAAACCACTGGTACAAGTACATGTACTGCGCTAGCAGTCATCTTGATGATGCACAGGGATGATGTTGAGCCTTGTGAGGAATTATTCAGTGGACCTGGAATGGGATCTGGGAATCTGTCACCTTTTTTTTTTTTTTTTTTTTTTTTTTTTTTTTTTTTTTTTTTTTTTTTAGGCTCCCTAAATGATTCTGATTTGCTGAAAGTTTGAGGATGACTGGCCTGATTTATTATTTACCATTATAATTTATGTCAGAGATGCCCCAAGACTGTTACAGTAAACTATTATTTAACCTTTGTAAGTTGTTCCTACTACAGTATGGATATATTTTAGGTCACTTGATGGACATCACTTCTGATTGAAATTTTAGCTCAGTTGGAGACTTATGGGGGATCTGTTGCTGATTGTTAACTCTTAACTGAATGAAAGTCCCATTTAAACAGGAGTCTTCTTTCGTTGATAGTAATGAGATTAGTTGGGCTTCATCCCATAAATTTTAATCATTTTAACTGTTTGTAACTTTCACTTAGTGTTAGCATTTTAAAATGATTTATAAACTTTTTCATTGTGGTTTTAAGTACACATACAGTCTTTATGTTTACATTTGCATATACCCACAAAATACTACCCAGATTAAGGTACAGAATGTTTTTGGCCCTTTAGAGGTTCAAATTCCTTTCCGGATAGAACATACCCCTTTCACTGTAAGAAAACCAGATTTAGAGTCTGTGATGTTAGCCTCTTGGTTAAAGTGCCAAGACTTTTGTACATGTCTTTTGGTGGAATATTCACTCTTTTCTCTTGTGTCTAAATATAGCATTTGTAGTTAAGATTTAAAAAAAAAGTATCTTCATTTGAGCAGATCATGCCAATTTTCACTTTTAATAGTGATGATTTATAATGGATAATTAAAATTAAATTATTTGAAGATTTTAGTGAACTTTCTCTTTGTTCCCCTAAATTCTTATTGAGACCTCAGTATACAAAGGAAATTCAGTAAATGTAGTTTCCAGAGATGCAGTTTTTCATTGAGTAATTTTTCCATGGTAGTAACCTTCCCTTTTCTCTCTCTTAGGATTGTCTTCCTGTGGGTTGGCAGGCAGTTCTAGGACTGCAGAATGGGGCTTCGGATTCACTTTGTTGTTGACCCACATGGTTGGTGCTGCATGGGTTTGATTGTCTTTGTCTGGTTATACAATATTGTTTTAATTCCCAAAATTGTCCTCTTTCCTCACTATGAAGAAGGACATATTCCAGGCATTTTAATAATAAGTAAGTTTCTAAGTCTTATTACCTTATATAAAGATTTTTTTCTCATTGTGAATGTTTTGATGTACAGCGGCGTCTCCGTGATTTGAATATCTATTTCAGTAGTACTGCTAACCTCTTAATTAAATTGCAGTTGTACAAGACAATAGTTTTTTGGACTTGCAGAGTTAAGATACTACATCTACATTCATTTCCCTCTGGGAAGTATCTGAAGACTATTTTGTTCAAGAGAAAATCCTGACAACAGTTCTATTTCTGTTTTGTATTTAACTGCAGACATGGGAGATGATTGATTGATTGATTGATTGATATTTTGAAACAGGGCTTCCCTCTGTAATCTAGGATGGCTTCAGAGTTGCCATTTTTCTGCTGCCTTCTTCATGCTGGAGTCCCAGGCATGCATCATTGTGCCTGGTTTGAAATTGGAGATATTATAGGGAAGGGGATGAGATATATTACTGGTAGATGAGAATTTCATGGTCCTAAAAATGACTCATGAGATCATCCATCATGTCTATAGCATCCCCTCATTTTGATATCATAAGAACTATAAAAGAAATTGTAATTCCTATTGTACATGTTGTAAGACTAATGTATATTGCTAGATATGATCATGTATCCAGTGGTCCTAGCACTCAGAAGACTGAAGCAGGAAAATGGTGACTTCTAGGCCAGCCTGAGCTCTGTAGTAAGATGTACATCAAACACACCTACACTACAGTCACACACACATTCAGTGAGCACTGTTTCCTTTTTATGTGTTCAGTATGTTGGCTTTTTATTTCCTTACAAAAGGCCCATGTTTTAACTTAAAATGTGTAATTATAATGACTGAATCTCAGTTGCTCCTTAATGTTATTTTTATGGTTACTTTAACATTCAAATGTTTCTAATTCTTCATTTTTGAAGTACATCTCTTAAGATACATCAAAGGAGGCAATTGAATATCACTAATTTAGAATAATTTTAAAGATAGAGTTGATGAAAGGTTAAATGTAGAATACTTTTTAAATGCTGTCTTGATTCTTTTAAATGAGTCCATTCATTTATTTATCATTATCGAGGGCCACTGTATGAAAGAATCTAATTTATTTTAAGTTTATCAGTTATTTTAGAAAATCATATTTAAATTGGTGTAGTGTCATCTTGGCAGGGCTATTTGATGAGTAAAATAAATGCTCTTTGTTTTAATATCTAGTCTGTTTATAAAGTTATCCTGATGGGGTTGGTTAAAATGCATTTTTTAAACTTTGTGCTTGTTGATAAAACATTTTAAAGGGTAAATGACTAATTGCTCTATTTAATTTCATATTACAGTATTCTATGGCATTTCTATATTTTGTCTGGTTGCCTTAGTGAGGGCCTCCTTAACTGATCCTGGGAGACTTCCTGAAAACCCCAAGATCCCACATGCAGGTAGGTTTCTCTTTAGGTTAATCCACTTTGCTGATGCTAGAATTATTATGTTTATTAACACATCTTATTACTTTTAATATATGGTTTATGTAAATCACTTGAACCCACTTTGAAGTCTTTGCTAACATGTCTGCCTCAATTGCAAGACCCCTCCCACTGCCTCCTTTTGTGGCTCTTCTTTTCTCCTCACTCCTGAGATCCATATATATTCTGAACATATAGGTTCTTTCACCTTCTGTGTGTGGTTGTGAACTGTATCTTTAGTCTCCAGAAGAGTCTTCCACATACAACAAATAAATATCTGATAAATGAAACAAAATAGCTGAGAAACAGGATTTTCACCATGTGATATTGTTAGGTTGCTTATAGCAAATATTTTCAGTGTTATAAACACTATTTCCTGACTTCTGTAGCTTCTAACAACTTGATGAAAAATGGAAAACTTTTGATTCTGATACCAATTAAAGATAATTTTTATTATTCTGTTGCCAGATAACCATTTATACCACAAAAATGAAAATGAATTGTTTATTTTGTTATATATCAGATATAATAGAAGCTCACTTTTATCTCTCTCTCTTGAGCTCATTTTACTATGTCTATGTTAACTTTTCGAGTTCTGTACTTTCCTATATATTTTTGTAGTCTATTTTGGAGGCAGAGCATTTTCTATAGTAATTTAGTGGTTTCCAAATTTGTACTTTCAAATTACCTGGGGAGCTTTAAAAAAAAATCTCAGTGTTCAGGCCACAACCTGTATTAGTTAAATCAGAATACTTGGACACTGATACAGGTGTGAGTTTATTGAAAGATTCCTCATGGTTTCAATGTGTAACTGAGTATGGGAACCAAAGTAGCAATTCCATGTGAAATGAGATTTGACAAGTCACCACACAAAGCCCCCCAGATGTCCTGATTCTTGTTTTCTGAGACCTGCCATTCAGAACCTTACTTGATGCACAGATTGAGATTTACATTGGTATTTGTGTAGCTGTAGCACTGTATAGAATATGTAGATTTTGTTCACTTAGAGCAGTAGCAGTGTGGTCTCTTAGAAGTTGCATTTGTTTGGGGGTGAGAACAGATAGGGTGGTACTTTGTAATCCTTTTCCTCCCAGGCAGTGTAGCTGAAAGATGCCTATATTATATTCATATGCTGCTGCTTCAAACTGAAGTCCAGTAGCCCCAGAACAAAGAAACAGGCCCTTTATAACTCTGGACTGGCTTCTGAGAAGTTAAACACTTCTGTTTGCAGTGTTTAAACACTCAAATATCTATAGGCTCCTGACATAGATAGTCCATAAAAGGCGTCAAGGGAGTAGCCATGATTCAACTATTGTGAAATTGTTACACAGTTAAATTGCTAGATCTTAAAATTTTAGAAGAGAAAAATAGGCACATTGCTAAGTTTTTGTCATTATAATGAAATACCCAAGGCAGGCAAGTTTTGTGAAGAAAAGATTTATTTAGCACACATTGACATGGGAAGGCTTCCTTATTCTCCATTAAACATTAACTCCCTCCAGAACCTCTTCCAGAATTTCCCATAAGGCCCTGCTTACAGTATTCTAGGCTTTTCTAGTGTGTTCTCCCAAACTCTTCCAGAAGCCTGGTTCTAAAACCAGCTGCACATTCTCAGTAGAGTTATTGTAACAGTCCTACCCTGGAATCCAGTTCTCTGTGTAGTTTTGTGTCACTGTAGTAAAGTAACCCAGGCAGACTACTGATGGAGAAGAGAGTCATTGAACCCATAGTCTAGAGATACGGGGGTGGGATGGGGGGTGGTATCTACACTGGCTCAGCTCTGGTTGAGCACTCTTTGTGTCACATCTTTATGGATAGCAGTGGCAGAGATACTTGCAAGAACAATCAATCACATTTCAGAACAGAGAGCTAGAGGTTCATGAGAACTTGCTCTAGGAGGTTAGTACCCTTTTGAGGTCAGCCCCACCACAGTGCAGGCCTGCCTTTCTCAGAGTCTGTCAGCGTTACCATTTCCTGTTTGCAACCAAACTCTTAATACACAGGCCTTTTCAATCAAACCTCATCCAAGCATGAACATCAGGGAATCTCAATTTCTATATGAGTTTTTATTATTAAAAAAATAAGTCTAGTTGAGGAGGATCTGGAGTTTGAGCCCAGCGTGAAGTACATGGTAACACATACACTCAAACACTCTCTCAAAGAACCATCCAAACAAGCCAACAAATCCACTACCAATAAAGCTCTAAATTCAGACTCTTAACACTAGGGGGAAAAAAACCAATAACAAATAAGTTAATTAAAAAATAAGTCATTAAGTAATGAACACTTGAACACTAAACAAATATGTTTTTACAGACTCTCTCTCTCTCTCTCTCTGTGTGTGTGTGTATGTGTATGTGTATGTGTATGTGTATGTGTATGCACATGCTAGCATCTTGCATACGTCCATACATATGTGCACCACAGACCAGAAGAAGGCATTAGATTCTCTGAAACTGGGTGCTGGGAACTGAATCATAGTTCTCTGCAGGGTAGAAGGTGCTGTTAATCACTCAGCCATCTCGCCAGCCCCATAAAGAATATCATAGTGTCTGTGAGCTGACTTAAGTCCGTATATAAAACCACTGCATTGTCATTTTATCTTTATAGATGTTCATAGAGGACATCAGGGAATCTTGCTGACTTAGGGGGATTCACATTTTGTTTTGTCTTACTTGATGGTGGCAGCTTTCTTCCTAAGAGACCAAAGAACTTCTTCATTACCCAATTAAACAAATGAACACACTGTTTTTATTACATTTTATTGTTTTTCAAAGTCTCATATCACATAATTCTTATGATAATTGAGTCGGATGAACGAGGTAGGAATGTGATTGGCCTAGGTCAGACCTGGAACTGTCACTGTCATCTTTTTAACAATGTGTGTATACGGATTAAATTTTTTCTTTTGTCATTCACCTTTACTATAATCTTTATGGGAGGATTGGAGTTGTCATGTACTTTTGGCACTGGTTATCTGATGTATTTGTAAGTATGCTTTTTAACTTAGTAAAAGTTGCGAAATTAACATAGGAAAATAATACAGCATGACAGATATTGAAAATATAGTCATGGTTTTTTTAGAAAAATCTTGACGGTTTGACAGTTTCATATAATTGGATTGATTCTTCAGAAAAATAAACTTAAAGCCATAATACTTACAAGTTATCAACCATTTTTTATTGAATCACCTAGAACTATTTTATATACAGTTTCTTCCTTCCTTCCTTCCTTCCTTCCTTCCTTCCTTCCTTCCTTCCTTTCTCTTTCTCTGTCTCTCTCTTAAAAAAGAAAGAAAGAGAGAGAGAGAGCTGAATAGGTGTGCATTTGCAGACACATATGTGCTGCAGTGTGTATGTAGAGGGCAGAGGACAACTTTTGAGATTCATTTCTTACTGAATAAGATATTGAATGATAATAACCTGCTTTATTGAAGCATTGAAGCAGGGTGTCCTGTTTCTGCGGCTGCATGGAGTATTCCAGACTAGCTAGCCTCTGCCTCTCATCTAGATGTTGGTCTTTTTTTAAAGAATACCTTTAGCTGGGGCTAGAGAGATGGCTCAGAGGTTAAGAGCACTGGCTGCTCTTCCAGAGGTCCTGAGTTCAATTCCCAGCAACTACATGGTGGCTCACAACCATCCGTAATGAGATCTGGTGCCCTCTTCTGGCGTGCAGGCATACATGGAGGCAGAATGTTGTATGTGTAATAAATAAATAAAATTTTAAAAAAGAATACCTTTAGCATATATGTGATCCATTAAATATGAGGCAAAGTTAAGCACAAGGGAGAAGGTACTTGGAATTTGATTTTAAACTCTTTAAGCATGTAGATGTAATAGTCAAATGAGGTTATTATACATGTATATTATTAAAATCATTCACATGTATATTTGAAATAACAAGTATAACAGTAACCTAACTTACAAATATCACTATCACTTTCATATTTCATGGAATAATCTTATTTGAGCTCTTGAAAAATTGCTTTGTTGAGGGTAATTGACCTGTCATATAGTTCATTCATTGAAAGTGTCCAGTTTACATGTGGCCCTCTTCATAGTCTGCTTTAGGACACTCTCACGCCACTACTGAAAGAACATGCTGTATTATTTTAAAATAGAAGAGTTTAAAACACTTTGCTTTGTAATACAGAATCACAAGTGTTGTTGGTTTTTACAGTAAAGGAATAGACTTGCGTGCTCTGCATGCTGGAGCTTGCTAGTCTGCTAGCCTGGGCCCCAGCTTCTTAAACTGTGGGTCCTGTAACTGAATGTGGGGGTCAGCAAAACTGGAGCTAAAGTAAAAATGATGCCAACTTAATTTTAACTCAAATGATGAATGTGAGGTGCCTCTGGTAGCACTTGCTTGCACTGAGTGGTGGGTAATGTCACTGAGTTCTGCACAGCCTTCCCCTAGTAAATGCCGCCTGCAACACCTAGGATCAGAGTCATGGTTATTGTATTATTATATGTATGAACTGTAGGGGTTTTTTGATTGTACATACAAAGTTTTCACAAGGACTTAATATTTTCCTATCTCATTTCTCTGTGTGCATGTATCAAATGAACATATCTTTGGATTTATCGTCCTGGAATGTTGAATATTAAATATTGCTGTTTGAAGAGATGGGTGAGGTGATACATGCCTGTAACCTTACTACTCAGGAGGCAGAAGCAGAGGAATCACCCACAGATTCAAGCCAGCGTGGTCTACATAGTGAGTTTCAGGCAAGCCAGGGTTAAATAGCAAGATGTTTCAAGAAAAAAATATATATTTTTTGCTTAAATTTCTGACTTGAGTTTTATTTAAAAAATTGTTAAATGACTTTTGGCTTGGGATTATAACAGAATGTTCAATAATTTCTGAAATGGCTTTAGAAGTTCATATGCCATTTTGTGCTATGTATTTATACACAGTGTTCTCAGCACTGAAGATTATAAAATCAGCGTATCAATCAACTGCAAAACATTTAAAAGCTTTCTGTCTTGTAGTTATCAAATATTCATCAAAGCTTTCTTTCTTTATGTGAAAACAAAGAGGCACAGTATTATTGGTATGAAATTCTTTAAATGTCAATATCATGTGTAAACCAAATAATTGCTTTAAAACAATTTGTGATTCATCAAAAAAGTTTGCTTTGTAAACTTACTTGCCTATATAACTGGGATTGTATAAAAACTCCTCCAGTGAGAAGGAGTTACAGGTGGGGTAAGTTAAGAGTCCTGATTTGGGCAGCAGAGTTCCTCTCCCCTCCAGAAACAGGCCTTTATATGTGGAACAATGTATCGATTCCCAGTAGACTGTTATATGCTAATTCATCAGAGAATAAAAACGTATTTGTGTTTTAAAGGACTGATTTGGAAAGTTTTTATAATATCTTTTTGTAGAAATTGGCCCACTGTGAAGAATCTCCCTCTGTCTGCTTGCTTTGTGTGAATTGCCAGTGTCAGGTTTAGATGTTTGCTGTTGAGTGCAGCTGGGACCTGGGCTGGAGCCACTATTCAGGAGTTTCCATCCTGTGTGCAGTAGCGAGGCTAGCTCGATGTGATCCGCTGCAATGTTGTATCTCTCATATGTTTCCATTAAAAAAGGAACTGTAAGAGGTGATTTTTAAGGTAGTTAATTTGATTCAGATTTTCCTTTAATTACCTGTTGCTTTCAAAATTTCTACAGCAGTTTCCCTCAGACATTTCTATTAAGATTGAGGTATGCTGATCTAGTCCCAGCCATTAAACCAAAGTAATAGAATTTAAAAAGGGCATCCTTTTAGAAAATTGAACACTATTGTCACCTTTTTAAAAAAATAAATTTGTATTTAAATTAAAAACAGTCTTATTTTACATACCAATCCCAGTTCCCTCATCTCGCTGGCCTCCCATGCCTCCCACCAACTTCCTCATCCACTCCCCAGGGAGGGTAAGGCCTCCCATGGGGGAATCATCAAAGTCTGTCAAATATTTGGGGCAGGACCTACACACACACACACACACACACACACACACACACCCTTCCTTCCTTTCCCCTCCATGTATCTAGGCTGAGAGAGTTTCCCTCCATAGGGAATGGGCTCCCAAAACTCATCTGTGTACTAGGATAAATACTGGTTCCACTGCCAGAGGCCCCATAGACTGCCAGTGCCTCCCAACTGACACTCACATTCAGGGAGCCTGGTTCAGTCTTATGCTGGTTCCCCAGCTGTCTGGCTGGGGTCCGTGAGCTCCCACTTGGTCAGGGCAGCTGTTTCTGTGGGTTTCCCCAGCATTGTCTTGACCTCTTTGCCCATCACCTTCTCTCTCTACAACTGGATTCCAGGAGTTGGGCTCAGTGTTTAGCTGTGGGTGTCTGCTTCTGCTTCCATCAGCTGCTGGATGAAGGCTCTAGGATGGCATATAAGGTGGTCATCAATCTCATTATAGGGGAAGGAGATTTAAGGTAGCCTCTCCACTATTGCTCAGATTCTTAGCTGGGGTCATCCCTGTGTCTACCTGGACCTTTCCCTAGTGCCAGGTTTCTTGTTAAGTTCATGGTGGCTCCTCTATCAAGGTGTCTCTTTCCTTGCTCTCCTTCTCTGTTCTTCCCCCACCTGGGCCTTCCTGACCCCTCATGTTCTCCTCTTCCCCATCTCCCATCCTCTTACTCCTGTCCCTTCCCCTCCCACAGTGTCATCTTCTTTTAGAAACATTTAGAATCTCTTTTATAAATTTTAACTTTCCTATTTGAGTAGGGATTTAGTGATTCCCACTGTATACAAGGGCCACACTATATAGGATGATGTCACTCTGAGAACTGTGATGTCTGTCCATCGACTGTAAGATTATGAAGATAGTAGTGCTATCTTTTGATAGCTGAAATTTTAAGAATTTTATAATGGTAAAGTTTCATTTTAGTAACCGCAAGGAATATGCATCTCATATAAGGAAGCAGTTATTTTATCAAAAGATGAATTAATAGTTTTTATGGATGTGATTAGAACTATTTGTAATGAAAACAAAGCCCCTTTCCTCTTTACTTCTGCACACTTATAATGGTACACTATTTTCCTGAAGCCCAGAGGAAATTACTAACTGGGAAATAGGCAAAAGCTGATTCCAGTACTAGTGAAGCTGTGGCAGGACTATTGGCAGTTCAGAGCCTGCCTGGTTTGCATAGTGGTAAGACCCTGTCTCATGAAAACAAAACTCATCTTTTTACTTGCATTTAATACTAATGGTTTTTCTAACCTCCACTTCTCTATTGGGTGCCTTCTAAATCGAATATGACCACCAACCTGCTCCTAATACACATGCTCAAAATTAATTTATTAATATTAAAAAATTAGAGGCTTTAAGCCGGGCGTTGGTAGGGCACACCTTTAATCCCACCACTTGGGAGGCAGAGGCAGGCAGATCTCTGTGAGTTCGAGACCAGCCTGGTCTACAAGAGCTAGTTCCAGGACAGCCTCCAAAGCCACAGAGAAACCCTGTCTCAAAGAAAGATGCTTTAGAGACATATTTATAAGATTGGTTTCAACTGAAAGTAAGACTCAGTATTTTTTCTTCTTTAGTGCTCTCAGCTAAAAAAAAAAAAAAAAAAAAAAAAAAATGTGTAAATTAACTGACTTAAATAAAATTCTAGTGTTTTGGTTGTGTTTAGGGTTTTATAAGATTTTGCTTACACTCATGATTTTTTTCAGAACCATGCTGTCTGTCCTTTACTTTGAAATAATGGTATCTTTTTTGTAATGTTAAAATAGAAACATTTAAAAACACAGAACGTATATAGTGGCATTTATGCCAAAGGTGCTTGACTACTTTGGAGACTCAGAAAAAAAGAGAAATGTCTTGGAGAAATGAGTTCAAGACTCCCCGTGGGATTTAGTAGCAGTTGCTCAGTCTCAGCATCACTTGCTGTTGTTACTGAGTCTCAGCATCACTTGCTGTTGTTACTGAGTCTCAGCATCTTAGCATCACTTTTGTGCCTTCTTCCTAAATGGTCTGTTCTTTTCAGAACGGGAGCTGTGGGAGCTATGCAACAAGTGTAATTTGATGAGGCCAAAGCGCTCCCATCACTGCAGCCGCTGTGGCCACTGTGTAAGGAGGATGGACCACCACTGTCCTTGGTAAGTAGGTGATCGTCAGTGCTTACAGACAGCAGCAGGACTGCTGGTGAAATTTATCCTACATCTGAGTATGTTGGTACACATCTGTAATCCCAACACTCAGGAGCTGAGGCAGGAGTATTACTTAATGAAAATAAAAATGAATAATCTGAGAACCATTCAGTTTTAAGCAAAAATAACACTTCAGTCATTCCATTAAATGTTGTTTAATAAAAATGGATCTTGCAAGTCCCAGAGTAAATTATCTGTAGAGATTTATCTTTTCTAACAAGACATATAAGCAGAAAACTTCAAAATTAACACATACCCAAAAATACAGAAGGATAAGGTGTTCATATCCAATGGATCAATGCGTGCAGAGCATTTGGTACATTGTCAGCTGTGTGGAAGCACGTACCTAACAGCTGTTTCTCTTACTGGGGGTTCTAAGCCACAGTGACCACTGCTTCCTTACTTGTTGAGGAACACTTTTCAGATAGCTCCCTTCCATTCCTTATGCCTTTTATAGTATTTTCTCTTTAGACATTGTTAACATTTTGTGCATGTTGGATATATGTAAGTGCTAATTAGCTGTTTCTGTGGAACTGACAATATTTTTGGTCAATAGGGGGCTCTGTTGTAATATTTAAAGACATTCTGTTTAAAAGTAGATTAAAAAAAAACCCAAAACCCAAATGCTCTGTGAATCTATTGTATTTCATTTCAAAGCTGTCACAGAAATCTTTGAGCAAGATACTATATTTAATTCTGCTTCTCTAACATTGGATCTTGTTTAAATATTTAAATTGCTATAGAACTTTATAAATTGATATAACACTTTATATATGTATGTTTGTATACACATGCATCTACATATATATGAAGTTAACTATATAATAGCCCTCTTTAACTTAAAGAAAGTTTATTTAACTGCAGTTGGCTAAAGAAGACACTTCATTTTTGTCTGATGATGCTAATCAATTTCACTTACCTTATTTATGATAACTTTATTATGGTAACTTTTCCTTATCTATTACTGACATTTTGATAGCATTACTAATTAGCAAACTTTTAGTTTAAATTTTTTTTTAACTGTGAACTGTTTATTTAAATAGATTTCCAGAGACTAAAAAAACAGAAGAGCATTTTAAATAAAAGCACTTCAGGTTTAAAATTGTTTAAGTCTTCTATAGGATACTGTTTACTATGACATACAGTGTTCAAAAAGTGTGCTTCACATTTTAAATAGATCAGTTCTCAATTAATTTTCTAAACATCAGTGGTATAACCACAATTATAGTACATGAAAAAATACTATGTGAATTCTGCATTCAGATGAGTGATAATCACACTGAAAATTCATAACACTTTTTTTTGTATTAGTTTTCCTGATCAACTAAAAAGATAGTAAATATTCATGCTTTAGTTAGGAGTTAATGCTTCCTTACAGGAAAATGCCATAATTTAAAGTTTAAAAAAATCATCTGGGCTATGTGCCTGTTAATACTCATATTTTTAAGAGGTAAAGACTAGCTTGTTGGTGAAGAAATGACGCACCCTTTAACTTGAAGCATGATGTTGAGATATTTCTGTCCCTAGGCTTCTTGCTTCTGGTGTCTGTTTCAGGGTATTGGTGGGAGGAGAGGGGAGTAGAAAGAAATTGGAGATTAGTAAGGAAGGTTGACAGATCTAGGCTTGTAGATTTCTTAGGTTGAATTTCCTACATAGCTCTGCTGCTGTCCAAATGAGTGTGCCCACAGTATTAATTTGAAACAGGGGTTCTTAAAGTTCTCAAAACTGTAGCATTTTAACAACTTCAGAGTCAATGGTGAGCTCTCAGATGCCTCAAGGTCTTTCTTTTTGTCTCTGACATTCTTTCTAAATAGTTGAAACACAGAGCATTAGAGTGCTCTGTGCCTGTCAGGGCTCCTTAGATGCTGTCTCAGAGCCTGCTAAGGAGAGGAGGGGTGGTGTTAGGGAATATTATTTTAAGATGTTACTTTTGTTATGATACATTTGTTTAACTCTATGAAGTGATTCTTTGCCTGTCTAAAACACCTGATGGTCTAATAAAGAGCTGAGCAGCCAATAGTGAGGCAAGAGCAATGATAGGTGGGCTGGCAAAGGAGAGCCAGGAAAAGGAAGAGCAATGGAAGAGCAACAGAGAAAAGAGGGGAGGAGGGCATCAGGGACCAGCCACCCAGCCAGCCACGGGCATAAGAGTGAAAGTAAGATATACAGAAGTAAAAAAGGGAAAAAGCCCAGAGGCAAAAGGTAGATATGATAATTTAAGTTAAGGGAAGCTGGCTAGAAACAGGCTAAGCTAAGGCTGGACATTCATAACTAAGAATAAGCCACCGTGTGTGAGTTACTTGGGAGTTGGGTAGTGGGTCCCCCCAAAAGTAAAACATCACACTACAGGTGGAGCAGCAACAGCTGAGAGCCTTTTCTGGCCTGAGTGAGCAACTTTTCCTAAAGCCTCTCTTGAAGATAACAAAGCTTTGAATTGTTCTGTTTACCAAGTATGTGTCCTGTAGCCTAAGATAAACCCCCACAGGATTTCAGCTCAGTTCTGTTTGATTTTTAAAAACAATGCAAAAGTATACATCTTAAAAGGCACAAATTGAACTTGATACACACACACACAAATATAAATGTATTTACACACATACACACACATTCTCCCCCCTCCCCACTTTGTGAAAATATAGTCCTATTTTGAAAGGAAAACATAGAATTTTGAGAAAAATTGTTTTGTATTGGAATTTTAAATTAGATTTTTCTATGGAATCTTAAAATATACTAATTTTCTAACAATAGAACACTCCTTTTAAATCAGCCTTGGCCGTTTATGATTATAGCATCATCATCTTCTGAGTTAGACTCTACTGTTATTTTGGCAGAGAGGACATGTAAGTGGTCTTGAATACATTTTTTATTTTCAGCAGCCAAGGATAAATTTTTTTATAAAGTAAAAATATAAAAGGAAAATTGTGTGCCTTGCAGTTCTATTCAGGTAGCAAGTTTGAGTTGTTTTTCCTGTAGTACTCAAATTGCTCTCATCTGCTAGGATGCTTTACAGAGGGTGAGAATGCCAGGGACAGGTTCTCCTTGTCCTCTTGGTCTCATTCTCTCCTAACCAAGTAGCCTTTGGCCAGTGGCCTAAATGCTGTGTTCCTCTTCCCTTGTTGACAGCCAGTGTCTGCTCTCCTGCCTCACTGGGCTACTGTTAATTAGAGGACTGTAGACTCTAGCTGGATAAATGTGTGTCTTTTAAACAGTTGCCTTTTAGGTTTGGGACAGGCTTACCCTCACCACCCTGACATGAGCATCTCACTAACATTTACATGTTTCTCTCTCTCTCTCTGTCTTTTTTTTTTTTCCAGGATAAACAACTGTGTGGGTGAAGACAACCACTGGCTCTTTCTGCAGTTGTGTTTCTACACTGAGCTTCTTACTTGCTACGCACTGATGTTTTCTTTCTGCCACTATTATTATTTTCTCCCATTAAAAAAGCGTAATTTGGTAAGACATATTTATATCCACTAATGTTAGAGACCTGTGAACATGGTGGTTCCTTGAAGTGCCGGAGTGCAAGCAAAAATAACAAAGCTAGCCTCAGACCCGTGAACTTTACACCATACTGGGATTGAGATTGTCTGTTTTTCTTTTTAGACAAGTCTCTTTATGGCTATTTGTGTTGAGTAGATTTCTTCAGAAAACAAAATGCTAGCTCTTTTAGTATAAGTGTCTTAGTTTAAAAATAACCTAATTTTAAAATAAAACCAAACATAGGTTAGTTTTTTATTTCATTTTTTTTTTACTATTTTAAAATTTTCTTTTTTCACCTCTGCTTCTCCCAGCTCCTTCCCACCTTCATGCCTACTACCCAAGTTAATCTCTCTCTCTTCAAAAACAGAAACAAAAACCAAAAGGACAAAACCCACCAAACTATAACCAAAAAAAGAGGACATAAAACAAGGAATATTCTTTGTGTTGGTCAGCTATTCTTGAGCATTAGGTCTGCCCTGGAGTGTGGATAATTAATAAATTTTTAAAGATTCTCAAAAATAGTTATCTTTTTGAGAAGAGGTCTCCCTTCTCTATGTTTTGTTTTTGTTTTTCTAAGACTGGATCCTGGCACATAGCCTGAGGTAGCCATGAACTCTTGGCCTTCCTGCTCAGTCTCCTGAAGTGCTAGGATTACATGCCTGTACCACTATACCTGCTCTTCTGCCCCAGCCCTTAATAGAAAGGTTCTCAACCTTTCTAACGCTATGTCCCTTAAATACAGTTCCTTATGTTGTGGTGACCCCCAACCATAAAATTAATTATGATGCTACTTCATAACTGTAGTTTTTCTACTGTTATGAACCATAATGTAAATATCAGGTATGCAGGATGGACTTAGGGGACCCCTGTGAAAAGGCCCTTTAGCCCTCAAGGGGGTCAGGACCCACAAGTTGAGAACCATGGTTGTAGAGTTACCTTTAAGTATGCATCATTTGAGCGATGCCCAGACTTGCCTAACTGTGATGGTGCTAGCAGCTCCAGAGCCTTTGATTCTTGACTGGATCAGCACTGAACTGTGGACCTTTCATTTTAGTGTTTCTAATGTTTACAAGAGGACATTGAGGATAATGGAATGAATAAGGCACTGGACACAGAAAGGGAGGGAAGAGTACCCACCTGGTTTTAGTTACAGAGCTGCATTAAACACATCCTATGTTATGTTACTTTTCATTTTATTTGGACTTTGGTTGTATTTTTAAAAAATACTGTGTGTGGGGGAGGGGGATGGTGGTTGAGGTGGGGGAAAGCAGGAGAAGAGAACAAGTCTGTGCTTGTGAGCACATGTACAGATACAGGACAGAAAGAGAAAGAACAACAGGTGAGGGGTACTTCTCTTTACTGTTTACCCTGTTTATGTCTTTGTATATGGAATGCCATGTGTAGGTGTGCCGTGAAATGCAAGTGATGGCAGTCTCAGTTCTATGTGTGGTTGCTTTGGGGCACAGGCTTGGTCTGAGACTTGACTGTTGTATGTGGCTGCCGACCTCAGTGGTCTGTCTTGAATGTTATTGGATTGTGATTATTAAATATGGTATATGCTACTAAAACTTGGTCCAATAGCTGAACCAAATTCAAAAGACAGTTTGTTTCTTGTTGGCACTGATCTCTAACTCAAGAGCTTCATGCAAGCTAGATGAGTGCTTTGCCACTGAGCTATAGCCCCAGCCTACTTCTTTGTTTTGAGACAGGTCTCACTAATTGGCTAGGTTGATCTTGGCCTTACTCTCTGGTGCCCAGACAAGCTTGGAATTTGTAGTCTTCCTGTCTCAGCCTTCACAAGAGAAGATTGTAAATGTGAGTCTTTAGCATTTTTACACTGGGAACACAGTGCCTGTTTCTATCAGAGTTTTAGAAATGTTTCTTCTCGCTCAAGGTTAATTTGGGGCATAATTGGTATTAGTTAGAACATGTGAGTTCTCCAAGAAAACTGTTTGTGTTATAATTGAGCCTTAGTAGAAGTGTTTTGAAATTCTTCAGTGGGGTTAAGATCATAGTTGCTCAAAAAAATGAGAGAAAAGATGAAGAGAAGTCAATGGAGAGGAAAAGATCCTGAAGAGAGACCATGTTGCAGGGCAGGGAGGGGTCAGCCTGTGCCACTGGGGGTAATTGGATCTCCATATTTAGCAGATTTTGTTAGAAGGCTTTACTGGGGGACAAAACAGCTATTCTCATTTTTTCATGCATAGTCTGTCACTACTTTTGTGCTACAACAAAGCTGAGTGGTAGTGGCAGGTTGCATGGCTAACAGCACTCAAAAATATTAAAGATTTGGCTCTCAATATTCTTTGCTGACCATGTAGTAGAAAGGTCACTTTGGAAACAGACACACTAGGTTCAAATGCTTAGCTTCTCTTTCTATGTATATAACCTTTAACAGATCATTCAACCCCTCTGATCTGTAATTTTATTTTCTGAAAAATGTGAATAGTAATGAAACTAAATAAGTTAATAAATATATGCATCCAGACCTGGTGTTTTTGTCTATAATCCTAGAACTGCAGGAGTATTAGCAGTTCAGGGTCAGCCTCAGCTACATAGCAAGTTTGAAGCTAGCCTGGGTTACATAAGATCTTATCTCAAAAAGCTAAAGCAACTAAGAAAAAAATGTAATCTATACAAAAATGTAAATAGTAGATGTTTTGCTTATGTTACATTGGTTTTATGATAACTCTCAGAAACAGAATATTTTCTTTAGCCTATTCATTTTTATGAAAAAACTATAAACCAGTGAACAATATTGTTGGGGGTTTGGTGACAGACAAAAGAAATTCCAGTAACACAAAAGAATGGCACAGTAACACTTACGTGGAAGATTTAGAAATTTGAAATTTTGAGAATTTTTTTTTCTTGAATATTAGGGAGATGGGGACATGGCTTAGTGGACAGAGTCATTGTGGTCCATTGTGGTTGCGCATACCAGAATCCCGGCGCTGTGGAGCTTAGGACCAGTGGTCTAGCCTAATTGGTAGGCTTCAGGCCAATGAGGGACCCTGCCTCAAAGTGGGTGGATGGCCTCAGTGATACCTGAAGTTGTCCTCTGTATCACCCAACATGCACATGGACCTGCACACACTTGAACATGCACACTTTTTGTACACACACACACACACACACACACACACACACAATGTGAAAGATAGGAACTTTGGATAAATTAATGCCAAGTATAGGAAGAATTATGTTTTAATGTAGAGAAACTGATTGTAGGTGGTATTTGAATGTATTTTCATACATGTACTGTGTTTTTGTACATACATACTGAATGTTAGAAGAAAGATTAACAGTATAAAATTATATCAAGAGATTTAAAAATACTAATGGAGAAAATATGCAAAACCGTTTTTGGAAACTTAGACAAGAGTAATGCAGGTTTTTTATAGTAATAATATCTTAGTATTAATAAATGACATCAGTTTATCACAAATGTTGACTATTAAAGCTGTTTTGTTATCAGTAACTCCAGGAATATTACCATTGTTTGTGCTTAGTAATGCTGAGCAGGCTTTGTTCTCTTAGCCTAAGCTTTCAGGTGTGTTGGCATTAAGTGGATTGCTTAATAGTTTGTCTTTTCTGTGCTCACCTTCATGTTAGAAGTGAGAGATGGCAATTTAAAAATGTCTTTTCCAAGATCATGTCACACATGCCATTGAGGCATCTCTTGTGTGTTCTTATTTAGAACATCTTTTCTGAGGCAGGGGTGGCAGTTCATTTGTAGAATCCCAAACTTGGGAATCTGAGTCAGGAAGATTGTCATGAGTTTGACAAAGTGAATCTCAGTATTAACTACTTTATTCCAGCTCTCCTAAAGAAATTGTCCCAGATATAAACCTGAAAGTGTCTTCGTTTCTTCAGTTTTGAAGGGTTTATTGCTTAGCACAGGATTATAGATAAACAATTGCTTTCAGTTAAATATTTTCCATTGTCTTTTGGCTTCTATAACTTTGTTGTAGTCAGTTGTTGGTATTACTACTTCATCAACATAATGTGTCTTTTTAAAATTATTTATTTATATTTTATTTACATTGATGTTTTGCCTGCATGTATGTCTGTGTTAGGGTGTTAGATCCCCTAGAACAGGGGTGATAGACAGCTGTGAGCTGCCATGTGGGTCCTGGGAATTGAACCTGGGTCCTCTGGAAAAGAAGCCAGTGCTCTTAACCACTGGGCCATTTCTCCAGCCCCTATAATGTGTCTTTTAATGACCACTTTTATGATTTTTAAATCCTCCTTAACTGTTATTCTGTAATTCTATAATGTGCTTCAATGTTGTTTTTCTTTGCATTTTTCAGTTGAATACTTTGCGTAACTTCTTGAACTTGTGTGATGAAATTCTTAAGTTATAAAATTTCTGTCTCACTTTAAACATTTTGTGACCTTTTTGCATAGTTTAGATTCTAATTATTTATGTGTAAAGTTTTTGCACTTCCTAAAGTCTTTGCAGTCCTTTCTGCATCCCTGCCCCCCACAGTTCAGTCTATTTTTTTTCTATTGATTTCTGATTTATTAATGGTAGCTTTTTACTCTACTCTCTTGAGTTTTTAATTCTGTTACATAGTACCTTCCACTCTTAGAGTCTTCACTTGTTACTATTTCTCATGGATCACTTTTCTAGGGAAATTTTTACATCTTGCCATTTTCTTGAATATTTTTAGCACTATATCTTAATATTTTGAAGTTTTTTTTTTATTTTATGTGCATGAATGTTGTATGTGCACCACATGTATGTCTGGTGCCCATGCAGGTAAGAAGGGGAAGGATCCCCTGGAATTGGATTAGGGATGGCTGTATGCAACTATGTGGGTACTGGGAATCCAACCCACATTCTCTTGTCTTAACCACTAAGCCATCTCCAGTCCCTTCTTGAACATTTTAATTAAGGTTATTTTCATGTCCATACCAGATATTAGTCCTGCACCCTGATATACCTAAAAAATTTTTATTGAATACTGGGC